TATAAACTTCACTCGCAACATGTAATCTTGTCATCGAATATGGTCAATTATCGAAGTTTTCATACATAAAGGTGTTCAAATATTTGTACATACTCATGGACATTACATATGAAAAATTATTCTATATTCGAGTATTGCTTTTGTCTTGACTGGAGTACGTATGACTAGTTCTACTATCAGACATGAGCCGAATCGTTAATTTATCAGCGAAATTAATGTATCACGTTTTCATCTTTGAGCTCGCGTCGAAGCGCCAGGAACAACACCGTTTACTACCGCTTCGACGATCGTCCGAGTGGTCCAGTCGTTTTAATTTAAAAAACATAGCGTTTACGTTCCATATAATAATATTATTGACATGTTTTCTTATTTTCTTATTGAATATTACACCAAGTATAATTGAACATTTAATACATAATTTTTTTTTTTACTAATTTTCTTGTTCCACAAACATTAAACATCGACGACATAAATGTAGTTACACAAGTAGCCATTTAATCTCGTGCTTGAGCGTTATTGCTGTAAAGTTGCGTGCAATCTTTCTTATTTTTTCAACACGTTCATGTAAATGAAAGATTTGCACGCGATAATTCACGAAATTGATGTCCACCATGCAGTTTTTACGAGCAGCTGAATCATCATTTTTAGATATAAATTCAATTAAATTTTTTTTCTCTTCCAATATTCTTAATCATCTTTTTCGATTATATATTCCTTTTAAACAAAACATAAATTATTCTTAACAGAAATTTATAAAATTATAATAAAAATATATTTTAGGTGTTCCTTGTGAAGTTTTTAATAAATTTGATTACCCATCAGGTTCCCTTCATTAAGATTTTCCAACCCAATATTTCGTTGCATCCAACTATCTACGATCCTTTGATCTCGACATTAAAGCGATCGCCAATTTCAAATTTAAGCTTATGATCAAGTATAACATTCAAACCTACAATTCGAAATTTATTCTCAATATTTGTGTGAAAATGCAAGAATATATCGATTCTATATACGTTACCTTTGCATTATGTTATTTATTTGCAATATTAGGTTAGGAATCTACTGGAATGTAGGTCACTGGATGCAATCAGTATTTAAGGATTATGCATGAAATTCATATGTTGTTATCCCAGTTTCAGTCAAATAAAAAAAAAAATATTCTAATATTGGTTAAATTATTTTTAAATTTTTCGAAAAATAATGTACTAATTAATAATCTTTACAGATTAATCAATTAATAAAAAACATGTTATACTCTGTATTAACAATTATGATTAAAATTATTATTGATGTACATTACACATTAAACAATCATATTTGATATTTATGTACATATTTTTATATATATGCATACATTATTAATTATGTTCGTAATTATTATTTTGAATTGAACTTTTATATATAACAATTTTCTGTTTAAAATATTGTAGTAAAATATTGTTGAAATGACTCACAATTTCTAAAATTTTATTAAAATATTCCAAGAAACTGGGAAAACATATGAAAGTAAGTACATATGTACAAATGGTTTTATTACACACGTTTATACGAAGAAAATTAAATTAATCACTTGGTTCTCATAACCAACGAATCCGAGCAATGTCACGTCGAGACAGGCTTTCATCTCCTGAGAAAAGCAACGATCATCACGCGATCACGAACGAACTAAAAAGATAAAGAAAAAATAACTAGATCCTTCACGCCGATATTTATCGAATATTGGCCCAACTGGGAACCCAGTTCTCGCCAGTATAACATTACTTATTTTATAGTGTATCTCGTCTCATGAGACTCTAATATATACTATATGCTTTAAAGTTTCACCTTTGATATTGCTACTATTTTACCTTACTAATTCTTTTACATCGTTACATCGTCCCTATACGGTTCTTATTTACACTATAGAACGCGGAAAAAGAGAAATCAAAGAAAAACATATACAATCGAATAAAAAGATCGATAACAAAAAAATAAATGACAATAATATAATTAATCCACAATAGACAATAATTAGGCAAGTTTCGTTAATTCGCTAATGCATATGTGCATATACTATGAATGTATATAGTGTATATAATATATTATTTTTATGCATCAAAAATGTGCGTGAGCGATCGGATTTATTACGCAACTGTCTCATTCATCGTATTTTTAAAAAGTTTAATGAAATTATTTTTCATATTTCATTTTTTTAATAATATAAAATAGAATTGTTTCTTTCTTTCTTTATCTTTATTTTTTACTTCGTTTTTTCGTGTTCTAGGCTTTTCGTGTTTTTCTATTTCTTCGACTTTTCAAAAAAGAAAAAAAGATGCCGTTGCACGATCGCGCTTCGATATTCAAATTTATGCTTACGTGCGTAATCTATATAACTTTATAGTCCTCGACGGTTTGCAGGTGGCGCGATGAGTAAGGAACGAAGCCGAATCTTTGGCGGTTTGTCGTAACAAGATTGATATTTTTTGTATTATAACAATAGTGTTAAATTTTGTGTTATTAATATCTACAATATCATCGAAAATGCACGCACGTTGATTTTTTAGGTAAGTTTATAATAATTTATTAGAATGATTGATGTTTAAACAAGTACTGGTTGCACTGTTCTTCTGTTATTAATAATGGCGGGAAAGAAACTTTCTTAGCAAATTTTATTAGCAAATTTGTTAATCGATTGTTCACGTGAAGCATATTCAAATATCATTAAAATAATCATGTATCACGATCTAGTTAAGAAATAAATATATTTACATTCTTTTAAACATATTTCCTGATACATTCTGTCATATATATGTATATTATTTGTCTACTTCGATATATGTTCTTTAATTTACTTTGTGAAATATTATTCATGAGAGAAAATAAATCTTACATAATCATCATATGATAAATATCATTTATAATCATATAATTTTACTTTTTAAAACATATTTTTTATATTTATAATATCTTTAATATATTAATTAAATTTCTACTTGCAGAAAAATTAGTTTATCGGCCATTTTGCAACAGGACCTTCATGTCATCATTACGTTCATCAATATCGGTGAGTTTAAAAAATTTATTCAATAATTTAATTTAATAATTCATTATCGTCTTCAACGATAAATATTTTCGAATATGTTTCTTTTTTTGCGTACATCTTCGATAGAATAATCATGAAAGTGAAAAGTGAAAACAAATCGAAAACGAGTAAGCGCGAACGATATCCGGCAAAAATAAAATCTATTGAGAACGTATGAATTGATCAAATTGAAGAAACACGTTTATGGTAGCTACTTTGTTGTGTACATGCGTACTTAATGCTAGAACTAGATCCTGAACACATCATTCTCTAAGTGACATCGTGCTATTAAGCGCATTTTATTATCATCGACGGAGTCTAAGGTACTCGGCCTCCTCGAATCTGCTGCAAAACGAGGTTGCATTCTCGATTCCCATATATAATACGAATATATCTGTCGAGATGTATGGAAGGGATTGGTGTTTCTTATGCGTGGTTTAAGGTAGTAAGTCCATGTCTTACACGAAAGTCACGTTGGCGAAAGCTACAGTTCCCTTACATAAATTTACCGTTTATGTTTCGTCGGAATATATAAAATATATTATGTATAATAATATATTATATATATATCATAACTGTGTACACTATGTTATCAGCTATCCCTATACTGCGTGTATATTATATATTATTAGATAAAGGACGCGCGTTTAATGCGTTTGAAGATTCAGGCGTTCGATTCGTATTCTCTGTTCTACAAATATACATACAAAGTTACGTTCACTGAACGAGCCATGGGCGCGGTTCGAACCAGGAACATCATTGGCTCACTCGTACTGCAACCGATAAGGTCGCGCGTGTATATGAGTATCTGATTCGTTTTGGAACGTATTGGCATTGCAATAAAAATGGTCTGCCAGATGGTCATATATTGTAATAATACATATTTCTCCCTCTCAACTTTATATATTTTGAACTATCTACACTACTTCTCCAAATGGGAAATAAATATTCGTTCAACTGAAATTATCACGTATTGCAGTTAGAGAAATACCGGCACCAACTACAATATAATCGTGTACGGGGATCACATGAAATTGGGGCCGGGGGAGCATTCGTTCACCTTTCTTCTCCGTTTCCCTCTTCATCTAATTTCCTTTTCTCCCTCATTTTTTTTTTTTTTATTTTTCTTTGCTTATACTAAGGCAACTAACGAATAGTTAAAAAATTGTCAAGGCTCTTATTGGAAGGATTACAAAACGCGACGCGTCCATGTTGTCGTTCATGTTATTCTCTGATATATTATTAATAAATAAAATTTTTTTGACAACTGTAACGCGTCACTCTATATAATACGAACGATACTATCTCGGATACGAGGGTCTCGTTCTTGAAACGTAGCAGAAATGGTGTTCACTAGCATTGCAATCGCAATTTCTTGCTCTCATTCGATCCTCCTCCCTCGTTCTCTCTTGGTACGATACCGTAAACTATACGAGTAAAACGAGCGACGAAATGTGTTCCCACAATGTGTTCGCGTTGCTTATTTCGCGTCAGTCTAACAAGACAAGATTCACTTAATGTTAACTTGTGTTCCACCTGCTTTCATCGACACTGTTCGTTCGACCGTTACTATTACTATACAGCAAAGATCGAGATATAGTTTCGTAGCCATGAGTCAGAGGAGAGATTGCGTGAAAGCTTTCGAAGTTCAAAGTTTCTAAGAATTGGTAATAACCGTGCGAAGTATTTTCCTAGTCTTTGGTTGAATATATTCGAGATATTCGTTCGATAGACATCTTAAAGTAGTTCTTGATTGGTCTTGTATTTTGGAAACTCGAAGGAAAATTAAAATAAATTACGATGTAGAAAACGAGGAAGCTCGTCGAAATCGTTTCAAATGCATAACAACTTTTCCAATTAAATTTAATTGTTATAATATTATAGAATTGTTGTTGAATTTTTTTTTCTATAACTTTCCTCTAGAAATCAGAATCATAAATAAAATATATATAATAGAGAAAATCGAAATTGATTAAAATTGGTTATGTAGATCGTTTGCAGGAGAAAAGATTAGTTAGATGAACGAATTAAATTTAATTACCGAGTTTGCATGATCATGTAATCATAAGGAAGTTATTTATCATTATTTAATCCGATAATGCACATGAACTTTCGAAATTAATAATTTACTGAAACTACTTATAAAACATAATATTTATTCACGTCGAATACACAATTATCCTTCTTTGTTGATTGTTAAAATTAATAATGATATAAACAATAATAGTCGAGACAAGAAATTGTGAAAGATACGACGTGCTTATAGTTAAAGAGCATTCAGACGATTAATTATATTTTAATATTTCAAAATTTTCAATATTCAATATTCAAGTATAAATATTCATTAATATTATCAATATTATATTAACAATATGCATATATCGAATAATATGTATATTGATCAGTTTTACGTACGATGTTCTTGTAAAAGTTCAATGACATTATATTAACAATATATATTGATTATTTTTTATGTACTATAATTTCAGGATATTGAAAATCTTGAAATGTTAACAATATATATTGATTATCTGAATACTTTATTTAGAAGTTTTTTGAAGTTCAAGAAGAAAGTCAGACGAATGTAATTGAAGTTCTCGTTGGTTATTAATCGAGAAAATCGTCACTCGAGGGAGACAGGAAATAGACACGGCAAAGATTTCAGCCTTAGATAGAAATTCGCAAAAGTGCACAGACATTTGAGATAGGAGCAGAAGAAATAACACGGCCAGTCGAGGAGACACGGACAGAAGAAAGCTGGAAGCAGCAATAGTTGTGACGAACTCATCTTCAATCCGTCGATTTTGAGAGATGATAAATTCTATTCGTGGAAAATATTACACTAACAGAATTATAACGTTTTAACATTTCGATAAAGAAATAATACGAGTGATAAAATTAATTAAATATACGATAGAAAATATAGAAAAATTTATATTCCCATTATCTTATTGTACATATTTGTTTATAAAGATTCAAAATTCATAATAATATTATCATCATATTATTATTATTATTATCTTCTACTATATATAATTAATATTTTTTAATCGACAATAAATATTGTATTTTCAAAATTTCCAAAATGAACTATTGCTGTTCCAGCGAACAAACCATGATGCTGTTCAATCGAGCAAGTATCAAAAGCGAGTAGAGATAAGTGAAGAATATTTTAATTAGAGGAAGATTAGACTAATTACGAGTTACAGAGTTATATGATAGAATTATCTAATTAAGTATATAGTTGTGTGTCCTTGCGTAAATGTTATTTTTTTTAAAACGTAGTTTAGGAAATTTTTATATATGCATTAAATATTTACGCAATGTGTAGATATATATATGTACGTATTTATGTACAGAATATATTATTTATGAGTTACGCGCACTTTTTCTTTTTTGTTTCACTTTGGGCAAGACGAGTAAAGTCTTCTTAAACGAAACAAAACGAAGATATTGACTCACGAGGAAAACTATTACTTTGGCCAGAACAGTATTTTCATTTCTAAGAACTTCTATTTTAAATCTAAAACTCGTCGAATCTATTTTTTACATTTTTATTGTTAATTCGTATTTTCTTTCGAAAATAATTGAATATCGATGCGCGACACAGATGTGTGATAAAGGTGTTTCTTTGTTCTTTAAATTAATCGATATGAAAAATACTGTTGCAAGCTATGATTGATTTTTAAAACTATTACTGAAACGTGTTGTTCGATCATTAGGTGTTATTTTTGATTTCGTGATGTACACCGTGATAAGAATATAAGGAACTCGAGGTTCTGCATCGAAGCGGAAGCTTTTTCAAGAATTGTAATATTCTCGATCAGTAATTTAAAATTAAGTTAATTTTTTCTTCGTAAATTTTGTTATAATAATTTAAAGAATTTTTAATTTTTAAAAATGAAATATATTCTAATATAACTAAAAATGTCTGAATCCACAATGTTTATTCGTTACAAGCTCGAATTGTCCTTGCAAATTATATATCATAACATAGCTTGAGACTATGCCGTGCCTGGTCATATATTCGAAGATATATGATCCGTGAATTTCTGAGAATTGGCCAACATTATCTGACTCACTCTACCGTGCATGCATCAAGGGTGAAAGTGAGAAATAAATAGTGCGAATAAGACAAGGCAACTACAATGCTACAAAAATAATAATATACAGAATTTAATTTCTACTAAAACAAAATTTGTTAAATCCATTTCGAGCTCATAACGAATATAAATAAAACAAAATTACATTTCAATTCGAAATCTCAATTCGTATTTTTTAAATATATTTAAAAGAAGTCGATTTTTTTATTTTAAAATAATTATTATATAGAAATGTCTGTATGTTAGGTATATATAATGATTAATTAAAAAAACATTTCATTGAAAAAGGGCTCACAGATCAGAAAGACCTTTAATCGTTTTACAAAGTGGAAAAAAAATACATTTATTGCTTCTGGCATTTTAGTAATTAACTGTTTCCGTCGAAAACAAATGGTTCTTTTTAGGAAAAGAGACAGATTAACGATTATTTTTCTCGACAGTAGCAATAAGGCCGAGGGAAAACAGAGGCTGAATTTTCCATGGCACGGTGGAAAGAACTCTTAATTAGTTCGAGAATCGCTTTCGGCTGTTAATAACACCGTGAAGTTACGACAAACGTGAAATGGTCTCGCTGGTTGGTCAATTAAAATAGTTTAATTGTCCGTGAGACTTCCGTAACGAACCGGTGCAATTTCCAGTAACGAACTCGGGAGTCCAGTCGAATATTTGCATCCAATTCGCCCGATATTATTTTTTATTATCATCGGCCAATTTAATTGAAGATCATTCCATTTTGCTTTAAATATTTAAAAAAAAAAAAAAGACTTATTTATCTATAATTTTTTATTTTATTTTTTATAGACCTGCTTTATAAATTGTAGAAATATCAGATTGTTCGAAAATTTCGTTTTAAAAAAATATTTTTAATATTTTTAATATTTGATTAAATTATTTATTTCAAACTTATATAATATATTTAAAGAAATATTTGCCAATTGCTAATAATGCTAAAATTAAAAAAGAAATGTTGATTAACTTAAGTTATTTAATTTTTATGTACATTAGATATAATATAATCAGATTTCTTTTTAATTTTCTGAACTTTCAAAATTTTCCAAATTTTTCAATCTGAATATTTTCTTTCAATTCGAAACATAAACATCATCATCGCTTCTATCGATCATATCAATTATTTTTACGTAGAAAATAATTGAAGCTTATCACTATAAACATATAATTCCACGTGTTTTTATTTTAGGAAAATATTTCCTTTCTACAAACCGAATATAAAACATATACATATTTTTCAAAATACTTGAAATTTTAAAATATGACTGCAAAACGAAACTATCATCAGCCTTTAAATGTGTCGTGTAGTTTCCGCCTCGATAAAACCGGAAATTCGTGTGAATTCGACTTTATGTGTTCTATATGATCAGAAATTGAATTATGCCGACCAATGACTGTAAATATATTATGTTTGGCTCGTGAACAAAAACAGTCTTAGCAGAAGGCGAATAATATTCGCCATATTGCATTTTATTGTTACTAATGGACGCGAGAAAATACTTAAGGAGAAAAAAAAGAAATGGAAATAGCATGTACCTCGTTTTCCCTTTTTTGAACAAATTTCTTTTCATTGCGCGACGCTATTTAACGATACTGATCGTTGTATCGAATCGTTGTATCAGCAATCAGCAACAATATATATATATATATATACATATATACATATATATATATATATATAAGGTTTCGTTTCGATGGATGAATTTAAAATAAAAAGAAATAAAAAAAAAATAGTGTAAACATACATCAATATTTTTTTTGAATTTGACGAATTTCTTTTTTAATACATTTTATCTTCATAAGAGATGTTCCGAAAATTATATATCCAAACACAAATTTGAAAACGTTTCATCATTGATTGTCCAATTTTCTTTTCCAATTATTATTTGTTATTTTGAAAATCTTTCAATTTTTTCGCGAAATGGAATCTTTCGATAGAATTATTTCAACATAAAATTCACTGTAACTCGAGAACAAGATCAAATAAGTAATATGCGTTTATAGAATTTTTTTTTTTTTTTTATTGTTTTCATGTTCAAAATCATCTATCAAAGCTGTTTCTTGATACGAGGAACCGTCCTATGTATATGTATATATACATACATATATATATATATATATATATAAAAGGAAAAAAAGGATAATTATAATAGAAAAATGATGATGATAGAATGAAATATTATTAGTAACAATATTATCACCAGTGATAATGGCTGTTACCGTATCGATCATGCATAACAATAACAAGAGGAACGCAATAAGATGAATTAATATAAGGATAAATAAAGTATACGATATTAATAATAATAATAATGATAATAATAATAATAATAATAATAATAAATATAATAAATACCGATGACAATAATAAATACGATAATGCTGCAAACGATAATAATAATAATAATAATAATAATAATAATAATAATAATAATAATAATACTGATAACAATTCGCAAAAAATAAATATACTATACGTAATCAAGAAAGAACAATGAAAATCGGTGGCTAAAAACCGAGAGACGATTAGTGCCGGTGGTCAAAGATTCTCTGATCGAAAGCAAAATGGAGGAATGGGAAAGAAGCGGATCAACCTATTTGTTCGAATCGCGCTCTTTCCCCTCCCCCCCTTTTTTTTTTAATTTCTTTGTATTTTATATATATATATATTTTTTTT